AGACTGGATTAATACACTAAGCGTAAATTCTTGACAACTTCTTTACAACATTTCTCTCATTAGAAAATTACTATTATGCATTTAATTAAAAATTATTCTAGTTCTAGAATTTGGATAGTGGGACCATCTAAAGACATCAACAAGAAGGCATTCTTAGTTGACAACACACCTCATTATTTCACTGTGTATTAACAGAAATTAATGACTTAACATCACATAATAGACTCACAAGGATAAGATGCAATCCAGCTAAGGAGGGTTGTTCATTGAGTTTATTTCACATTTTCTTCACACTCCATAAACTGGAAATGATTTTTTTTTTCATTAGGAAAATACTTGTGTGATCACACAAAGCTTAAAATTGATCACACAAGTTTTAAAAAGGAGAAAACCTCACTATGTAAAGGTTATCCTACTTGTTAAAAAAAAAAGTTGTCCGAAGAGACTGTTGCTTGCAGGTAAGATTTAATTGTTTTAAGAAAAGGTTGAGCTAACAATACCTCAATAGAATTCCTTCCTCTTGCTATTTAAATATCAAAACATAAATCAATGCATGATAAGATTATTTTGCAAACCAAATACTACTGAGCCTGAAATTTTCAAGTCGTGACTCAAAAACTGTGAAAGGATGATGCATGTTTTCACCAGCAAAATCACTGCTTTCACTTTAAAGCAACACATGATTCACAAAATAAAATTCTGGATGATATCAGATTCTCTCTTAGAATTAACTAGGTCAAAAAAAGTAACTGACTGGAAACTAATACCATTTTTACTCTTATCTTCTGTGCCACTACACAAAGATAATGCATCTATGTGTTTCATTGCCACCCACAATGCAGTAACTGTCCCAACTCTTAATACCACCCAACTCATTAACGACCACCACAGTTGTCCATTCATTTTCAATTATGCCTAACCTGGAATATCATTTACTTGTCAAAATAGTCTGCTAGACTACAATCTTTGTTTCCATCTTTGCATCTAGAAGCCCAGTTCCAAGCTCAAAACACTCATCTAAGATCTCTAATGAAAATCTGAAGCCCTGGAGTCCATTTGTCAGAGGCCCTTATAAATTATTTGAATCACTTGTGTTTCGCAAAGAAAAGTAGAGAAAATCCGTCCACACTGCACTGAGACAGTGATAATTAGATCTCAGTTAACTTAGTTTAAACCCCAAGACTTCAAAATCCTGTGAAGTCTGAAAGGGAATACTTTTTTAATGTTTCCATTGCTCCCTGTACAACAGATGTTTTCATAATTGTGCTCAGTAACTGATTCACAGACCAAATACTGCAGTTTGACTGTTAGTACTGATTTGAACCTACCTAAAAACATTCCACATCTTCACGAGGCATCAGTATTAAATATCTAGTGCTACAGTAGCAAGTAAAGATCTAGCCTTATGCATACTACTTTAAAAAATTTGCATCTATTATGTTACCAGTCAGGGTTCATTCCTTTTTATTCCTGGTGCTCTGGGATTAAACATTCTTATGTTTTATAAGCAGCTAACTGATGAGTGCAATAATTCACTAACTAATGAAAACTGTGCTTCAGAAGTGTCTTCTTATGAATTCTCCCCACCTCCCTTTACTTTTGGTCTGCAGAAGTACCACTTCCCTGCAGCTTTGGCTGCCTGCCTTGAACACAGGTGGTACTCAGATAGCAAGGCAGCACATAGATTAGTGACAACCAACATTAAGGTATTCTCGGAGTACCTTAAAACAAAACTATGTTAAATGAGGAAAAACCCCAAAGTTCCATTCTCATGGTGCCAGAGAATCATCAATAGAATTCAGAGGTTTAAACAAATTTAATTGCTACAACCTATATGGAATTAAAAATTTTTAATAAGTGTGTACACTATCATTTGTTTTACTTCAGTTACTATTCCCACTGGCATTCCAAAATGCCATGAAATACAAGATAGTAAACACTAAGTCATCCTAATTGCTTTTGGCGATTGTCAGTTTTCTTCCACTTATCCATTTATTTATTTTACATGCTGGCTGTGCTCTTGAGAGAATATAAAATGCATTCCTATTTGTCTTCTATCATTCTCCTGTAATATATTGGGAGACCACAGCAAGAAATGGGACTAAAGCAGAAGAGAAATTTGACCCTAAATTACACTTGAAGTAAGTATTTTGGGGATTAATGAGCTGCTTGTGGCTGTTAAGGCAAAAGGTGAGGAAGAATGGTGAATATCATTTAACATTTCACTTTGCAAATAGCAGTTGCAGAAAAAAGTGGTTTGTGGAATGCAATTATTTGAGCCTGTGCTGCAACTAAAGACTCTTCTTGACTTCTAGTAGGTTTTCAAGTTTTAAGAAAAACTTGAACTCAAAGAAAGGCAACCCTGACTTTCTCTACAAGCCAGCCAAGTAAGATTTTAATATCATGGGTAATACGTAGTAGCATTTTTAACAGTCTTCTCATCCTTCGTTATGGCATGTTATTTTCTACAACCACTAACTGAGAACAACATAAGGAAGAACAGGAAAAATACCTGCAAGGCTACCACCACAGTAAGCTATTTGGAGAAATTCTGTTGTTTGTAGTTTTAGAACTGTGCAACTATGCCAACAAGAATTTCCTCTCATATGAAACAGACAGCTAAGTCAGAATTTCAAGAGGATTTTTTTTTCAGCATTTTTAATGAAGAAGATTTTCAGGAATTCAGAAACATTTCTTCAGATTTCTAAAGAAAGAATTCACTTCAAGGCAGAAGCTTGCCATTTTCAATAATAAGGGTGTCATTCCATTGTAAGCGTTACCTGCTGCTAGGGCTTTCCTCCCCTTAAAGGTCTTCCTGTCTTGCTGTCACGCTAAAACCAGTGATGAACTCCACGTCATTTTAATCTCACTGCAATGCTATGAACCAAGAATCTAACAAACTTTGGTATGGAAAAATGTGTTAAATTACTGCAGATGATGCTTTTGTATTACTGCGTAATACCTGTACATTTAGAGCAGAAAGTGGGAAGCACTGTAAAAGCAGAATACTAATGGCTCAAATTCAGTGACTACTGAAAAGAGCATGAGCTCTCAGTGAAAGAACTGTATATCTTATGAAAAACACAACTATGACTAACTCTTTGAAGGGGTTTCAAAAGAGCACAGAAAAAGACATTCAGAAATAACTCAAGGAATCTACTCAAGAAATGGTTCAGGGAAGTTATGGTCCTCTGAAAGACCTTCCTTAACCCAAGTTAACTTTTCAAACACTGTATTAGTATAAACTGCAGTTCTTATTCCTGGAATTCAGACAACAGCCAGGACACCACAAACCTCTGTGCAATACAACTTAATTTTGAAGGAATAAAATCCTCAAGTAATTGATAGAAGTGAGACCATCCTAGTGGTTCGAATTAAAACAAAAGACTCCCTATGGTTACAATACAAAGCATCACATGAATTGTTAATTCTCAGAGCCAAAAAGTTAAAGTAAAAAAAAAAAAACAACACAGCAGCACAAAATGCTCACAGTCAGTACATACATTCACTTCAAAATCCTAAGTGTGTGTTTGCTTACTCAAATTTGGCCTATCAACACTTGACACATCTCACTCCATCCACCTCCAAGAACTGCACATCCCTAAAGTATATCATATTCTAACTGGTTGATAAATGGACATAAGATCTGTAGCTAGATCAGAAATTCATTCTTTCAGTATCTAACACTTCTTGGACTCTAATTTGTTAGGCTTCCTCATTAGCTCCTAAGTTGTTATTGAACCGTTCTTCAGCAGTACTTGCTTCTCTTCAGGCCTGAAACAAATTACTGGTAAATGGTCACATATGAAATACTGATCAATTTACCATTAACTATGGCTAATAATGAAAAGACTTGAAGAAGCTGTGTGCAGCTTCAGAATTACTCAAAGACCATTTGAAAGCCATGAAGAGCTGAGGATAGTATTAAAGTATCAAAATCATAACCAATACTCAGTTGTTAGTAACTGCATTCCCAACTCCAGATATAAATATTGTCATCGTATCTCCCATTGAAAGAATTAAGTGTTTGAGAAATTATTTTCTTCATCTAAAATCAATAGCAGAAGAGTTATTTACATGACATACTGAGCAGCCTCAGTTACACGTGACAGACCAGCATGGTTTTTATTCTCACTGTATTGTTATCTCTAGTAGTCAAACAGGCCTATTTCACACCGTGTTCCAATAAAAATCGGTAGACTATCTGACACTTCCCTATGGTATTATGCAAACAGTTTAAAGAGTGTGCACTCACATGTTCAAACCTTTGAAAACTACCTTATATCATTCACTAATAACAGTAACAGTGCAGTTTAACTGTATATAACTTGGGAAGGGTGTGCTTCTTAGATTATACAACACAAATTTAAATACTAATTAGAAGAATATATGTAAAGACCTCTTTTTTCTTAAAAAGAGAGCTGCATATAGTATATAAAAAAAAAAAAAAGTGAAAGCAAAGACTAAGGACACCAACACAAGAACTTTGAAAAGAACAATGGTTTCATCTCACATATTCCAGAATCATGACAGTAGGCATATTATAGTGTTGTGGCTTTGTGATTCAACTGCATGAGGACTTTGATTTAGCAGTGTGATACAAGCAAGTAAATTTTTGTTACACAACAAACCTTCCACAGGTGGAATATCTAAAAGAACCTGAAAACTTACAGTTCCTGCAGCTAGGAATATTAATGCAGATAAGCATAATTTTAGGATTAGAATTTAATTATAATTTAATTTGAAGAAAATTCACATCAGCCTGCAACACACCCTGCACTTAAGACGTATTATTAGAAAAGGTTCCTCCCCTTATGCTGTGAGGGAGGAGCAATTCCTGTAATAAACAGCTATGCTTAATAAAAACATATATTTTAAATCATCTTCCTGCTATAAACCATTATATGAATTCCATAGCATTGCACAAAGCATAAAAGAGACTGTCATTGCACAGTTTTAAACTTAATAAAAGCATAATACAAAGTAAAAGAAGAATGTACCTTTCATTTGGGTTCCAAAGGTAAGCGCCAATTTTGCAAACAGTTCTGGGTTTTCAAATCTATCTTCTTCAGCTTTTACCCAAAAGCTGTTTTCTGCTATCTCTTGAGGCTCAATCTGAAACAAAAATGGCATCTCCAGAGTTAATAACTAGTATTTACAATAGTCAAGTTAAAGCCGATGCTACTAGACTTTTGTGATAATTGCAATGAATTAAATTTAGTTATGTTCCAGCTATTATGTTCTCTTAAAGATGCTTCCAGAACAAAACATAATCAGATGAACTGCCTCCTATCCACGCTATGATTTTTATTATATTTCTCCCATTCAACAAGTTTTCCAAACAGGCTTGATAACATATTAGCATCTGGGTTTGAAAGTGTTCTAGCCTTCTCTTGATTATGTTCAAGACAGTTCCCAAGTTCTTCACCACTGATATGCAGCCCTGCTGCTTGAGAACTGTAAAAGGAATAGTCTTTGTTACACTGCCAGAGTATGGAATACCTTATTTGCAAATGATATGTCAATGCAGACCTTTCAGTGACTCAATATTAAGTCTGTAGGAAGAATTATCTTTTTAAACATCAGAAATAATTTTATACTTAATATCACTTTTTTTAAACATTTGAAAAATGGAAACACAGATTTCATTACAGTACCTTATTTGATACTGTATTAAAAGAAGAAAGTACTCTGCAACATAGAAGCTGAAAGCCAATTTTACTCTTCATGTATGGTTCAAAACAGCTATTTTGTTTTCAAAATATGTTCCTCTTCCTGTTTTTAAAGTCTTATCAATTCTTGTTTACAAGTTTGTTTAAATGCCTATTAATTTTCAAGGGCTATTTAACTTCAGGATGATACACAAGAATACAAAGGATACACAGGCTGAGGGGAGACCTTATGACTCTCTACAACTACCTGAAGAGGGGTTGTAGTGAGGTGGGTGCTGCTCTCTTCTATCGAGTAACTAATGATAGGACGAGAGTAAATGGCCTCAAGTTGCGGCAAGGAAGATTTAAGTTGGATATTAGGAAAAATTTCTTTACTGAGAGGGTTGTCAGACATTGGAACAGGCTGCCCAGGGAAGTGGTTGAGTCACCATCCCTGGAGGTATTCAAAAAGTGCGTAGACAAGGTACTCCAGAACATAGTTTAGTGGGCAGGGATGATGGTTGGACTCGATGATCTTGAAGGTCTTTTCCAACCTAAATGATTCTATGATTCTATTCTAAATTTATAAATATTATACTTGTAAGCCTCACTAGGATTTCACTGCAACGCATCGGTCCTCCGCCTTTCACAATATGATCAATCTGTTAATGTGTAGCTGCTTTATCACCAGCTGCAGGTAAGACATTTTTAAAAACTATCTTAATCCAACACTAATGGTGAAGACAGTTACAACAAAAGGCACTAAATTAAACAGAAAGAATTTTGTTCCCAAAATGATAGCTCCTTAAAAGTTATGTTCAGAGGGACTTTCCTCTTCTCCAGTATGCAGGAGATTTTTGGCACTGTTCCCAGAGCACTTAAGCAAAGTGTCCATCTGCAGTTACTTTCCATTGTCATACACAGTGTTCAGATGTGCACTTTATAAATTATTTCTATAAACACATGAACATAATTGATTACAATGAAATTGGCTGTAATGACAAATATGTATTATAAACTACAAATCTTATTTTTCTATATGTTTACAGGATGGTAGTCTGAGTATGTTTCACAGTTACAAAACTAGTGCAACTGACTCTAGAATCAGATATTACTTAACAAGGACAATTGAGTGTAGAAAGCGCAAGTTACACGTATGGCAGAAATTTTTCCCTGCTTAACTGACATGCCTAAATAAATGAAGAAGATAAATGAATTGCAGGAGAGAAACTATCCTAACCAGACAAAGCAGTGGTGAGTCAAAGATGAGGAGCAAGTTCAGGACAGAATGATATTGTCAATGGCAGACAAATTCCACCACCCCACCCACCCCCCACCCCCAAAAATCACCAAAATATAAATCTGTGATGAAACCTATATTCTATAAGGAAAAAAAGTCCAGATGGAAATACCCAAACAGATAGAAGGGGTTAATATAAAAATCTGGAAGTCAAAGATAATAAGAGAAGCTAACTGAAATAATAGCCACAAAAAATTTTCTTAAAAGCCCAGGTGGAAATGCATTTCTAAAACATTAGAGCTCATTTCAAAGGGAGGAAAAAAAGTTTTAAAAAAATCCAGAAAACTATGATGGAAGCTTTGAAGAGAGTAATCTTCTAAACAGAAAGAGGACAAGGACACTCAAAGGTAAAAAATCTTCAACAGACAAACATTTCATAGGAGGGGGAGTGGCTTTTTTTTTAATAAGGGTTTTAAAGGTTACAAAATTGTATAATTCAAATGATTCGTATGAGTACATGAACTAAAAGGACTTTTATATGGCTAGGTGAATTTCAAAGTAAAAAAACTACCCCAAAACTCTGGATTCAAACATTGGGTAGTGCCATATTCCTGAAAGTAATACATGAGCATCTTTTCCAGCATGACAACTCATACATTCTTGTTTCTTTTTAATAATACAACTAGGCTACTTAAAACAGTCCATTTTTTCTTTTTAAAAATATAATATATTGGTGTGGTTTGCTGGAGGTTAAAGATATATTGTACAGATGTTTTAAAAAAACAGCAGGACCATACAATTCCTTTTAAATTCAGAAGCATTAAAGTTAATATTCTAAAAAAACTGTTCAGTTTTCTGGAAATGCACTGAGAATTATACTTTAAAAAAAAAAAAAAAAAGAAAATCCCTCACCAATTTCATTTTGCTGCTCTCTCTACAGTTACTTGTAATGTCACCCTCATCTACAATTCTCTGTAATGGGCCTGAAGTTTCCAGCACTGTCATACCATACTGTAGCTCTAAGAAGGCACACTGATGCACATTAACCGAAACCAGAGATTTACAGTCTTCCCCCCTCCTCGATACTTTTAATTCGTCCTCCCACAATAAAGAAGTTATCAATTATCCTAATATGCAGATTATAAGAATTACAGACAGAAAAAGTAAAGAGAGTTTCAAATGTATTTAAAATTTATTGAAATCAATACCTTAAAACCATAGTTGACTATTTTAAATATCCTTCTGCTTAAATATTTTGAAACCCTGTTTTTAAACTACTCCTGTTAGATACACTTTCAGATTATTTTAGCACATTTCCAAATACTTCGAAATCCAGTGACAAAGTACTAAAGATAAGGTATAAACATTAATTCTTATGGTAAAAGAAACTATAAATTGACATGACATGCATTTCTACACAGGTTTTATCTCAACCTTCTAGATTCCTCCTTCCAAAGTTAGTGGGATTAATCATTCATGATACTGCTCTTATTTGTTACTCCAAAGAGCAAGCCATTTCACTATTCAACACTTCAGAATTTAGAGGAACACAAAACCTAAGCTTACTTTTTATTTAGAAAGACTCAAGAAGAATTAAGATCACTTACTCAAAAATATCAGAGGACAGCCTAGTTCCTCTTCCAACAGTAAACTTCTGTCATTACTAGTTCTTGGAAGGTTTTCCTTGACATGGTGACGGTATACATTCAGAAATGATACAAAACAACTTACCTTGAACCATCTGAAAAACCCCTTGGGAAAAAATAGAATGATTTCCAAACACAGTCCTGTGCTGTTTCCCTAAGACTATTCATGTTTACATATACTCTTAAAAGTGAAATTCCGTTGTGTCTGGCAGGGTAGATCAGCTATGTAAGAGCTCGATGGACATGATCCTGTGTCCTAGCAATATAGTGACAACAGTCTACAAAGGACTGTTATTGCTATGCAATGATGTGATGCATTTCAGAAGCTTCATATTGAAAAGATGGAGCATCTTCAGCCAGGAGCAACATCTGGCATCACATGTCATCCAGCTCCATCCAGGACAATGTGGTACCACCCAACTTTGTAGAAAGATGCATATCTACATCCATATGAATTTCCCAACAGTTTTACCAGCTGTGAAGTGCCCCCAAAAAAACCTGCACTATTTCAGCATGCAATTTAAATTACACATTCAACAGTTGTTCAATACTAAATTGCAACTTATGGTCAGCAATGACCATCTGTAGCCACTTAACAGCTCACTTTCGTCAACAATTTGATTTTACTAAGTTCTTGGTACCAACACACTATTGAAATAGAATATGGTTTTCAAGGAAAGTGTCACACACTAGCTAGTAGTACAAAGATTTAGTACCTTGACAAGTAGCAGATATCCAGTCAAACTAACTGAAGTCAAAGCTAGAGCTCAAACCAGATGACATGCAATATATGAAGGTCCTCCTTTAAATTGCCTTGATGATTTGGTGATCTATGTGTTTTTTCCTACAGCAAACCTCAATATGTCTATCACATTTTATACCACTAAAAAACTGCCAACCACGAGCTGCCTTTAAGATGTGATGGGTTTAGTCTTGAAAATAGATGCAATTATCTAGTACCCCAAATTTATTTCCTTTATATGGAAGAAACAGTGGCTATACTGATCAAAAAGGGATTTAAAAGTAACACATATGCAAACACACACCTGGATACTTACATAACTTCTCTTGTCACAAAGTGACCAATTCTACTGGGAGACAAGTAATAACTAGTAACTGCTCTTACAGGTTAGTTCTGCAAATCAGACATTGTGCTTGCAGTTTACTGCTCAAGTAAATGTTTATATTTTAAGTTGTTTTGAAAAAGGAAATTTGATTAAATATAACCATGTAAAGACTGTGCAGAAGCTCGCATTCACTGGAAGTTAATGGTGCCCAACCATGTCACTTGAGCAGTCCCATAGCTCCTCCCAGTGGCCAAAACCCTGCCCTAGCATATTACTAATCTGAAACGAGCAAGAAACATCCCAGATTAATACCCGCAGGTACCATTATAAACACAGACACAGGCATTCTCTGAACTTACAACTACATTAGACATCATGAACCAAGAAGGTTTCCACATTAAGTAGCATGCTGTTATCTATGTTTGAAAACTGCTTTAAAACTATTCCTAATGGTTTGGATATACTGCAACTTAATACAAAGCCACAATTCACATTCACCGCACCTAACAGAGTGGTGCCCTGTCTTTTCGTTTGGGTCATCGCAGTTTTTCACTCTGCTTTGATACTGACCAGCAATACAAGCAACTCTCTGCAGAACTATGAATTTCAGTGAGTATTCACCCACCGATCATACTCCACATACCTCAGAGGAGTCACAGATGTCCTCTCAGACCTGCCCTCACGACGGGGCCAAAAGAGAAATAACACACAGCAGTTACCTACTGCCATCTCCTGCTGTCACTACATAAATCCACTGAGCTTAGCACACATTCTCTCAAAGCTCTCATGGGAAGAAATCTCTTGCTCAGCAATGTACAACCCACAGCCTTTTTTAGAAGAATTTTGTATTGGAACTAAGGTAGCTTCCTCGGATACTCATCCGTCAAGCATCAAATGCAACGTTCTGTCAACAAGAATCTCATTTAAAAATTCATTATAGTATACAGTATCAACTATATTTGTAAAGGAGAGGGAAGGAACATCGGCTTCACAATTCTAATAGAGCCATGACTTTAACTCAAGTTTAATATCAAACCACTTACTGCTAAATCAAATGCAGTAATAATTTTACACAGAACTAAATAGCTAAAAATTCACTCTAGTAAAAATTTCTTCAATGCTTACAATAAAAACTGATATTTAATAACATCATTGCCTTTAGAACCTTCTGATAAGTTGGCAACAGTCTTAACAGGGTAAACACCTGCCTTTCTCGGAGAAAGAAAAATGCTGTTAAAGTGTGTTTTGTAGTAAAACTATCATTGACAGGCAGGTAAGGCAATGAAAGTCAAATTTCCTTTCAAACTTCCAGAACGTATCACAAGAACAAAAGAAATGTGAACACAAAATAATCGGCTTCATTTCTTAATTAGATGCTCTAATTTATAGTAAATTACTGTATTTGTTCAGAAGACTGATCTTAAAATAAGTCTTAACCTCATGTCAAGACATCTCCCTTAAACAGAAGATTTTAGTAGTTTAAGTCTGTATACTTATTATCATGGTAAGTATAGAATTATTTATTTTAATTAGGAAAAATACTTTTGCCAATGCCTTCCCACCCTTGTCTTTTTACGCTAGTCAAGTTTTTGAGTTTCATGCAAGGTTTTTAAAACTAAACTAGAAAACCCAATGAATTGCCACCATAGTGGTTTCACTCATACTTCATTTCTAAAATAAATTCACAGAAGTCATAACCAAAGCAATCGTGCACTGTTTTATTGAGAAGATACCAAACGTAAAATTAGTGTCTAACAGCCTGATCCACTTTCAACCTGCCCTCAGAAAGCAAGGAAAAAAAAATAATCATAAACCACATAATTTATGGCTCCCACAGCTTTACCCAGAGAAGGCAAAACTAAAGTCAGAGTTCTGCTGCGCGTTGTCTTCCAAAATGCCATGTACCCATTCATACCAAGTTTTACTGCATTTTATACCTAGAGACTCAACTAAAACCTCTTAATACATCTCCTTTCTCAACATCCTCTCTCATTTCTCAGACACAGCTGCTTCAATTAAGCAAACAGCTGTAGTTATGCCTTGACTCAAGATCCTTCTTTCTGCCAACTGCCAGATTGTCTAAGTACCTAAATGGCAGTCTTCCCAACAGTCTTCCACCCAGTTGTCTACTTCAAGATTCATTCCCCCTGTCCTAAACCCCAGCAATACTTTAACTAATTCAACTTTTCTCTGAAAAACTAGTAACATGATTTATAAAGTAAACATTTTAATTGTTTGATAACTTAAACCTGCTTTAAACAAGACATTTTACCTTTGAAGTGCCCACTTGGCAAGTCAAATATCTTTTACGGCTGAAAACATGTAGAACTTAACTCTATACAAAATCAGCCAAAATTTTGAGAGCTCTTAGCTACAGATAGCCCCAGAATATGGGGTGTTATGGGCTCTTGGCAGCATTAAACACTTAGAGCTTACCCCATAGAATAAGGTGTCTTTGAAAACCAATACCAATTGAATCACAATCACTGCATCAGAAATGTTTTGGATAAAGAATAGAATGAATTCCCCAAACATGAGTACTATTAACAATCTAATGTAAACCCTAGCGCATTACCTCCTTCTTCCTCAAAAGCCACTTTTTATGAATGGGAATAAAAACAAACATTGTAATACCTTTGACCAGTTGATTCTCTTCATTGCGACTTCCAGCTTATACTTTTTCTTCTCCTTCATCCCATGTGGTAACGCTGGTATCACCGGAAAGGGAGCAAAAGGAACACCTCCAAGAGCTGGTGGCATTGGAGGCCCACCAAAAGGCAGTGGTGGAGGAGGTGGTGCTCCACCAGGTAGCGGAGGTGGTGGAGGTGGTGCTGCTCCACCAGGTAGTGGAGGCGGTGGAGGTGGTGCTGCTCCACCGGGCAGCGGAGGCGGCGGCGGAGGCATTACTCCACCAGGTAACGGAGGCGGTGGTGGAGGAGGTATTGCTCCACCAGGTAACGGAGGCGGTGGAGGAGGTGGCGCATTCTCACTTGGTAGGGTTGGAGGTAACGATGCTACTTCTGTCAGTTGACCTGTCAGGGCTGGACCCTGAAATATAAAAAAGAGGAACTCTTCATCAGGGTGGGGAGAAAGTTTAATATGAAGTTGAACCAACTAGGATGCCTTGTAGTCAACTATACCTCAAGAAAGTGAGAAATTCCACCATTCTCCTACTTAAATGAGAAGCAATAACAATAGATTATACCATGTACCATAAAACTGCCAAGTAAACTGAATAACCTAGCATTTTTATAAAAACAAATTGTTTCCATTTTAAAAGAAAATTTAATAGTAGCAGTAACATTTAAGTGAACAGAACAGCATTTTATTTCTTAACAATACACAAAACATTTATCCCATTTAGGATATCCTGGCAAGCTGGGGCATCAGGGATGGCAATAACCACGCTGAATTTTAACAACACTGATCTGCTGGTGGAAAACTTTCCACAGAAATCACTGAAGCAGCTATTGCAGTGCAAGAGGTTATGGGACCACAGTTGTTCATAACTATCCTGATGTCTTGTTTGGGGGGAAAAATAACCCAAAGCAATCATGCTTTCTTTTAATTCTGTCTGCAGTTGTTTCTGCAGTGATAGGAAGAAAGAGCAATTGCAGTGTCCACTCTAATAAGCTGCAGGAGGAACAACTAAGAGACACAGCAGCATGTTCAATCAGACGGGTTTCTGTAGTGATAACATGATCCCAGACTAGTACAAATTCCTCACAGATTTTTGTCCTTCAAGACTATCTGTTAAAAAGCAGCATCAGGATCTATGCACAAACTGCCATACCACCTCATATTTTATTTCCTCTACTAACTGATTTTTTTACTACAAAATTATTATGTAATACAGGCTGCCCATTTAATCCGAATTGCATACTATTTCCCCATGCAATTATTTACTGTTTCTAGTTTAAAGGAAGCAAGATGGGGGGGGGAGATCAATCTGAGAAAAATCTGAGTGCATCTAAAAATAAGTGCCACAATATATTGTATGGGGAGCATAACACTAGATTAAAAAAGGCATAAATACCAGAAAGTTAATGTGTATCACTTCTAATTGTGCCATTATTGTGAATGAACCACGATGCCTGGGTCATCTGAACTATCTTAGAATCAATATAACAGGATTAATAATTAATCGGACCGAAAATAAATTTTTGGCTTTGCACAAGGCACGTGTTTCCCATGAACTACTACACGCATTGTAATGCAACAATTGGTGAACTCATTAAAACAGATTGTCAAATTTCAGTGTAACACTGTCTTGTAGATATTTGTAACAAACATCAAAATTGGTAAGAATGAAGTATGAACAGAAGTGTCTGTGTGTGAAAACAGAATAAGAAACCGTAAGACACCACAAGTTACGAGACCAACTGTAATGATAGCAGAGGACACAATGAAAGCAATCCCACTGTGAAATGCAATGTAATGTGCTTACATTAAGACACAAAGACCAGTGCTCTGATAAGGCTATAGCACAGACATCTCGCCAGCAAAAGACCAGCATCCTGAAAGCACGATAACGACAACCAGGTTACGGCACACCATATGCTATTTTTCCTCTTATTATCCAAGCAGGAAGTGAGACCATAGGCATTAAAACAGTCACGATGAAGAAAAAAGGCAACAGGCAGACCTTGCCTAATATTGAAGGAGTAGGAAATAAGCCAGGCTGAGGCAAAAAGACGAACCAACAGTTACTATGGTTTGATAAGGGGTATAAAAGGCCTGTCAGAAATGCAATTCACTGTCATTAAACAAAAGAAACCCAAGAGATGTTGTGAGGGCTCAAGAGGCAGCATTTCTTCTCCTCTCTGCTTCCCTAGTGATCCCAGACAGATCACTTGGAAATACAGTTTTGGTGCTTGTGAGCAAAATTTATGAGGAAATCAATGCAAGTACAGTCAGCTTTGCTGAAATTAAGTATCACCTTCCACTTCCATAAGGTCTTGCGTTTTTTGTTATATTTACCTATGAGACTGTATAAAGCTAGCGTAATATTCATTTTAGAAATGGCTACAGTCTGATATCCAGAGTTTTAAAAAAAAAAATAATAATTGTCGTTATCAACTGCATGCACATGCTGAAAGGTATGCATATTGTGCACGCACAGCTATTGTGATTTCCACCTTTGCAATTCAAGTATAAAGCCTTCTAAAACAATCACTTTCTGCACAACATACAGAAGTAATGTTAAAGCATAAACAAGTACTTGGAGAAAAAACAACCCAGGCTAGATTCAAACTTTTCATAGCCTAAGGAAATTTTTCCTCAATAAAGCAAGTATCTGTAACAGATGTTGAATATACTACTATTTGAAAAAATGCTACCTCCATTAACTATCCATAGTAGTTTATGCTACCTTAAAAAGAAATCAATACAACTCTAACATAGATTTCAAACCTCCATAGAGGCAACACACTCCTGGGTAATTTCTTTTCAATTCATAAAAAATAAAATAAAATAAAATAAAAAAATAAAATAAAATAAAATTCAACTGTGGAACTTACTGTGATTATTACCTGGGTTCGTAGCTGTTTGATTTCTGTTTCAAGTTCTTTGATTTTCTCTTCTCGTTTTTGAAGCTCTGCTTGTGCCTCCTGTCGAGCTGTGAACTCTTCATCAAACTGTAATGATTAAACAACACAAAAGTGTTTGTCCATTGATGTCCACACTAGATATTATACATTCAGGAATTCTTTGAACAATATCAGACTAGAGCAATAGATGCACTTTTAACTTTAAAAAAAAAAAAAAAAGAGTATTTTTCCAGTATGTGTTCTTCTAGTAGCACATAATTTCTTCCATCAATAAGTCATGACACAGAACCACTCAGATCCAGCTAATGAGTAGAGCTGTAAGTTCAACAGGTTTGTTCTGCCCCAACAGAATATTGTAGACTTCTCAAACTAAACTCTAGTATACACGTCATGCAGTGAGCTTAAATCTGAAGAGATGTGTGCTGCTTCAGCAGTATCATCCATAAAGTAACATAAGAAAGGAGGTATCCAAATAAGTCAGTGATCCCTTCAGTCTTGATGTCCCCGTATAAAATGGAAGTCCAGTTTACAGCATGGTTTTCAGAAATTTGCTGTATATTTTCTTCCTGCTACTGTTCGCTAGGCTTAAGAGATTATTAGCATCTTTGAAAGCTTCTGTAATTCATTCTTCCACAGGACAAAGCAACTTATCACCAGTAAGAACCCGTTGACTGCCACTAACAAAGTACATTATGATAAATAACTCTGCCGGAAAAGCATCATAATAATTTTCTTTCTATAAAGCTCAGACACCATAGCTCCTATTAAAAATGCATCCACATTTAACACTGAAGAGAGAAAAGCTAATTACTTCATTCAACTCTTAATCTGAAATTTTTAATTATTGTGTTCAAGAACATGTACTGCCTTTTGGTCCGCAAAAGGCTTCTTAGACCAGACCAAACATCAAAATTTTGAATGCTTTTAATACACAACAACATGGTATATGAACTTCAGTATTACTGCAGCTAATATAGTACATTCAGCATTTCATATCCTTAGGCAGCATGTGATGAGCTGAGATTAACAAATTAGCCATTAACATAATCTAGGAAACAGGAATTAAAGTAACTTGAGAAAACACATGGTAGCAAGATACTTTCAGCACAAACACCAATAGTGATAAAGTAGAAGGATAAGTATCAATTTCTTTAGAAACACCCCCCAAAAATTTTATTACAAGAAATATACTGAGCTGGAATTCTTCCTATAGAAATAATTTTAAATGTCTAACCTGTCCTGTATCTAGTAATAAATGAAAACTGCCCATCACCGAAAAAGGACTTAGTTACCAAGTTCCTATTAAATTGGACTTGATGAACTTAGAGGTCTTTTCCAAATTTTATGATTCTATTTCTATATCTAAGTGATAGGACAAGAGGAAAAGGCCTCGGGTTGCGCCAGGGGAGGTTTAGACTGGATATTAGGAAGAATTTCTTCACCAAAAGGGTTGTCACGCATTGGAACAGGCTGCCCGGGGAAGTAGTTGAGTCACCATCCCTGGAGGTATTTAAAAGACATGTAGGTGTGGCACTCAGGGACATGGTTTAGTGGTGGACTTGGCAGCGTTAGGTTTATGGTTGGACTTTAAGATCATCAAGTTCTTTTCCAACCTAAATGATTCTATGATTCTAAAAAAGAACTGGACCAGAACAATAAATTTGTTAGCAAAACAGGTTCCAAAATTCACTGCAAGATTCCTAAATGTGAATAATAAGGAAATAAATTACTCTCCCTCATAATGTAATAATATATCATGGGTGTTATAAGGAAATAAAGCAGTATTTCAATGTTTGCATCTCTGTGCCTAAGGAGTTGATGCTTTTTCAAACATTAAATTACACTGCTTTTCAATATGTTTCTTCAGGTTCTAAACCAAAACTAGATGGAGAGTTATGAATATTTCCCCCCCACAATTGTTATTTTTCTTTTTTAAGCATATAGCTGCACTTCGTTAAATACCTAAGTATTTCAGGACAGAATAGCGACAAGTGGAATTTTTCCATCTTGTCTTCCCATGTTGTCTACAGCAGAGGAATACAACTGAAGGATATGTACAGCTAATACTACTTATCTGCTTCTAAATTCAAAGCAAGCTGGAATCCGAGCCTTGCACACACACAGAAAAACCCAAAACCTGCAGAGCTATTAAATGTAAAAGAACATCCTGCCTGTGAGATACTCTATTTCCCAGTTTCCACCAGCTGCCTACTGTGAAACAAGCCTACTATGTTCCTGTCAGGCTTCTGTTCCATACCTCAAAAATAGTGATGATTAGGACTTACCTTTCTGGAAAATTCTGCTGCTTTCTTTTCACTCTCTTCTACTTTTGCTTTGTCTACACATGCATCTAGAATTTAAATAAAATACCACACAGAAGTCAGGTAAAACGTATAACAGCTCTGAGGTGCTTTCCTACCATGATTACTCTATGACCCCATGAAACAAAAGCAACAGACCAAAAATACAATTAATTAGTCGGTTGCTCTGACCAAACATTTGGTGAGTTATTTTGAAGAGCAAAATCTGTAAATATAAGGAAAGTGGTGAGGACACATGACCAAGGAATATAGAATCAGAGAATGGTCTGGGTTGGAAGGGACCTTAAAGATCATCTTCATAGTGGTTCTCTGACAGGTCTAAGTTTGCATGCCCTTCTCCTTTACATTAATCCACAACTAAAAAAAAAAAGGATTTTTACACTAGTATGAAGTAATAGTTACTTCTGAGGTTTCAAATCAGAAAGCCTCCTTTCCAGATTAGGAATCCAAAATCAAGCAGTACCTTATTTCAATAAAATTATTTCATAGGCAAGGAGAATTTGGACAGACTGTGAAGCACAGGTTTCTTTACTCAACAAAGGTACAAAGCACTTCTATTGACTTTTCATGCAGAGTAGAACTCTTAAGCATTTTATAAGTGAGGTAAACACAAGTAACTATTATAGGTAGGAACTGGCATGGAGAGACAAACCAGTTATCCCTAAAACTAGTAGGTCAATGGAAACAGAAGGCAAGGTGATATAAGATCAAGTGATCACACATCTAGAGTTGTAAGTGAATAGAAAAATGCAGAAATACTTCTTAGATATGGAGGATACCTTTTAGAAAGCAATTTCTTTCCCCCCGCCACCCCCACCAAAGTCAACCTGTACAACATCCTTTCTTTGCTCCTTTTGTCACATCACCAAAAAACCATCTTCCCAAATGAATATGTTCTCCGAGAGCAATTACCTCCCCCTATGAAATATTTAGTCTAGAGATGTCCCTGTATTTCAAGAATAAAGTCTACCCCACCAATCTTAAGAAAAGCATAAAATGACACCTCTAAATGCTGGTAACTGCCATTTAAAATTATATAGTATTTATGCAGCTGCTTCTTTCCCACATGACATGAACATCCACAGTCCCTCAATGCTTTAACTGATTATTTTACCTTACACTAACCTCAAATACTTGTAAAATATTACAGAAAATATTCTTAGAATGAACCATATAACTATTATATATTGACTAACAATTAATGCTAATGTAAATTTTGATATTTATAACAGACCTGAAATTCACAGAAATTACGGACAAGCAATTTTTGGTTATTAAGATTATTGTATTCAGATAGAAGACAAGACAAATTTGGAGAAGCAAACTTCATCAGTGTCATTTTATTAAAGGCTGTAGAGTTTGTTCTGGCCTTCTCCACAAGTACACCTATTTCCAGAAAACTGAAAAAGTTCACTCAGTCAACTTAAGCCTAGAGAGAAGAATACAAAGAAAAACACGCACTTCAGTAAAACAAGGTAAAATTGCTTATAGGATACAAACCAATAAGATGAGTAAAATCCACATCCATTCTTCCTCTACATTTAAAATCCGGGTCCGTGCCGCTGCAGTGCAATACTATCTGTGATACACATTCTTCTATTATCTTGTAATACTGAGGTCTAACAAAGAACATATTTTACAAGACAATAAGAACAGGATCAATCATTTATGCAACATGGGGGGGGGGGGGGGGGGGGGAAGGGGGCAATCTTAACTCCTAATATATGAATTATACAGTTGCCAGTAAAAGGATCAAGTTAAAGGACTTAATTGTACTCTGGCTAATACAGCACTGTTGTCAGTTTCTCACAAGGATATCTGAAGAAGTGCAAGACTCCACAAAATGCTGTGCACTATTCATTTATCCTTTGCCAGACAATAATCCATTAAACAAACAACACATTTATTATTTGCAATATATGCTGCAAGAATTACTTAGCACATTCTCAACAGTGACTTCCATCGCTCACAACAGTACCAGTATTCAATTACTTAGAAAATGAGTTAATTATTAACTTAATTGCTTGATATACATCTCTACACAACATCAGGAACCTCCAAGATTAGAGAATTCTGTGCTCAAAATTATTAGTTCTTACCAGTGCAAAGTATTACATTTCAATTTCACATACCACTGAGCTCTCAGTAGGAAACCCTCAAACCTAAAGTGATGATATCCCAAACTTTCCAATTAAAATAAAAATATATATATAAAAATTTGAAGATTTCTCATGTTATATTTTACTACTTAATTTTATCATCTTGCATATAAATTGTTTTTATCAACCCTTTACAACAAAAAAATTACTTCTTAAAACAAGATTTTTTATGTGGTACTTCGACACTGCTAAGACACTATGAGGTGCACGTAAAAGAAGCTTACATTGAAAAGACAAGATACAAGGCACTGTGGAAGTACTTTCAATTATTAGTTATACAACTAACTTTCAAGTTCTTTGAAGTCATGAAGCTATCAAATTTGAATAAAGGAAAAAGTGCTCAACGAGTTAGATTTTGGGATAAGGGTGTTAGAATAAGGTTCAAGTCTTTGAAATAAGCATTATTATATTTAACAAGGTCTTTTCAATATTAACAGTGAGCAGAAAAACAAATAACACATCAGTTACTGTCCTGGTTTGAGCTGGGATAGAGTTAATTGTCTTCCTAGTAGCTGGTATAGCGTTATGGTTTGGCTTCAGTATGAGAAGAATGTTGATAACACACTGATGTTTTCAGTTGTTGCTAAGTAGTGTTTAGTCTAAAGTCCAGGATTTTTCAGCTTCTCATGCCCAGCCAGGAAGAAGGCTGGAGGGGCACAAGGAGTTGGGAGGGGACACAGCCAGGACAGCTGACCCAAACTGGCCAAAGGGGTATTCCCTACCATGTGATGTCATGCCCAGTATATAAACTGGGGGGAGTTGGCCAGGGCGGGATCACTGCTTAGGAAACTAACAGGGCATTGGTCAGCAGGTGATGAGCAATGGCATTGTGCCTCACTTGTATATTCCAATACTACTACTACTACTATTATTATTGTCATATTATCATCATCATCATCATTTTATTATCATCATTAATAGAACAGAAAAGAAGAAACTAATAAACTGTTCTTATCTCAACCCACGAGTTTTACTTTTTTCCTTCTGATTCTCTCCCGCATCCCACTGGGGGGGGGGGGGGGGGGGGGGGGGGGGCGGGGGGGGGGTTTTTTG